CATGAGAAAAAATACATATATACAAAATATTCTTTTTTTGTGCAAAAAAGTAGAAACATTGTAGGAGATAGCATTGATTTGGTTGCTACAGCAACGGATCGTTAATTCCATCTTGAAACAGTGGTGTAGTATATATTAACAATAGTAGCGCGCGTGACTGACAGAAACCACTCCCACTTGGAGATGAAAAGTCGGGATAGAGGAGGGCTAGTGTCTTCTATTCCTTACGCGTTCGCTCATCAATGTCAAAGCAGACCGATAGTAATACACAGAACCATAAAATATTACTGGGAACTTGACAGGTCCAGACTTCATTCTAAAGGTTCTTAGACTTGACACATGGGCAGTTATCCAATGTTTACCATCTTCATCAAAGGAAAATAAAATCAACTTGATTGAAATTCATCAAACTGCACAGGTAAGTCCGAATTTAATTGTGTATAGCACATTAATCAGGCATGCCGTTCAAACATGCATGAAGGAAGCAGTGTTGCATGGTGCCCACGTGTTTCTTCACTGGAACGGGTCCTTTTGACAAGTGTTATTATTTTGTCAGATTACCATAACGAGACTGGTCATTGATTTAAGTTTACTAGCCTCTTATTTTGGCAGTTATTGGGAATTGATTAACGAACAGATACTCTCGAAGAAAGCTGCTTCATCAGTTACCCTTCCTCCCTGGACCAAATTATTTTGACAATTCCATAACCTAAATACGTCCATTTTGATAGATTTTTTCATTTATATTATAAAGCACATGTTATTCACATGTTTCTATTGAGAATAAGAGGAAGTGATAACGAACTTTGAAAAAAAAATTTTTTTGTTTCTTTAGCTGTCGACAGAAAGTGGGCAGCTTTTGAACTTGGAACATGTTGACATAAGTCTGCTTTATGATTTCTGGTTATTTGAACTATATTTTTGAAATATTTTATTTTCAGCTATAGTTTGATCGAATTTTTTTTATTTTTTAAAAATTTTATTTATTTTATTTTTGGATATTGTGCGATGATGTCTCTCTTTACTTTATTCAATTCTAACTTCATTTTTTAAAGGCAAGACTTTTTTTTATCTCGTGTTTTGCTTAAGGAATAAAGCAGTGCCGAAATGATAAAATGGATAGAGATTTCTAAGTGATGACATTGTATGTCAATTTTAAAATGCTTATCAGATGGAGAAATCGACGCAATATGAATGTAACTTTTTAGACACTTGATATAGAACACACATTTAAATTTAGTCGGTCGTTACCATTCGTAAAAATAGAGAAAACATTTATTTAATAATAAACTATCGACTTCATAAAGTTCTTGTACTTTTGAAAAATAAAAAAATAATAATAAAATTGCTGATATTTTATCTTTTTTTTTTTTGAGAATGAAATTCCAACTTTCTCCTAATTAATAGCTCCTTTAATGCTAGCGTTCGTTTCTTATGGGATTTATAATTAGTACCGGTAGATGTTTGCAATCATGCAAATATTAGTTCCCAAGTGGAATCATCTTCTAAACAGGGTTATATTTGATTGATTAAAATATACACATTTCTTGTGATTTATGGCAAAAAGTGATCACTTTCATATTCATATAATACCCCAGCAATAAACCTCAAAGACGAGGGATGCATTTGAAAGTTTGCGTGCAACCCTCGACGCTATGATCATATTTCGATGAAGAGTTAATACAATTCTATACGTGCAACATAACGGGATGTGTAATACTGTCAAAGCCCCAAATATCTATGAATATTTCAGTCGAACAAAATTAATTATTCCTTGCCGATAATTAATACCACTGCACAGTTTTTAATTACCAAGGGAATATGGCCAAAATTTCACGCCTAAACAGTCCGTTAAGGGTCCGAATCCCTCCTCTTTTCGGTACATTATTCCTTTTTTCACATGCTTTCACGCAATTTTATGCATGATTATCGAAATCAAATGTGCCTTTTGTTCATTAATCGTCGATGTAAAATTGGATTAGGAATCGGGAGGAAGAACTGAAGAACAACAAATAGATGTAGTATTGATAGCCTTAAGATGTATGTTTACACATTATCCAAGAACAAACACAGCATCATTACAAACAAATGCTTGGATAAGTCGCTGAGATAAGTACACGTGATATACGGGATTGGAATCCAGCAACATTAATCCTATGTAGTATTTGACCTTCCTCATATTCTTTATTTTAGGAAATAAAATATACAATATCACTGACTTTCGTTATATAGAAGATTTTGGCGTATGTTTTAGAAATATATATATTTTTAAATTGATATTTAACATTTTGTGCAAATGTTTCATTATTTACATGAATTCTTTTACGTAAAAATACAATAAAATGGTGTTTGTAAAATTTCTTTTTTTTTTTATTTTTAGTATTTTTTGAAAAGATACATAATATTTCGTGAAATATAAGTGCTTTAATAATTAATTTGCGGGAAAGAAAAGTTTATTGAGTGAACCGTTTATTGTTTGCTCTCAGTCTGGGGATATTACACATAGGCAAAGTGACAGTTCAGAACATTATAATTTAGAATAGTTATGGCATAAATACATAAAGTTTTTTTAGTTAATCGTAGGAGGAAGACTTTTTTTATATTTTGTTAAAAAAAAGTATTTTGTTTATTTTATTTTTTGATAAATTGTCACATACGGCAATTTTAGGGCGTTTTCTTCCATTACACATCAACAACTAAACTAAATTAACGGTCATCCTCTTTTTTCTTTCTTTCATATGATATAATATTTACTGATGATATTTATCTAATTCTCTGGGACGTATTTTATCAAAAAGGAACAAAGTGTTGTAGATAAGAAAGTCCACTAGAATAAAGCCACGAAGATTTAATTATTGGCTTTATTTATTTATTAGAAATCTCATTATTTACTTTCTAAGATTTAAATATTTACAAAGTTAGATTAAAAAAAATTATCCTCTAAATAGACCTGTTAATAATTTAGATTATCGACCGCTGAGTTGTCAAAAGGATGCACATATGTGACGACATTATACAATAAATGTAAATAAATCAGATTTAACCCCGTGCTATGACAAACTAGTGACACTAATATAGTAATCATGTGGAGCCCAGAGATAAATTCACATTTATTTTCCGTAGAGTGCTGATATCAAATTCGAATTATTTAAATATATATAGATATGTATAAGATAGAAGACGGCATAAATATTTCGTTATCTTTCTTTTGAACACGTGCAACAAAGGTTTTAAATATTGGGGTGGGGGTGGGGGTGTTAAATTTGAAATTGTTCATTAACATTTGTAATTTTTAGAAAATAATTAAAGATATAATATTAGATATTTTTATAACGTAAATGTTTTATAGAAAATGTGAAATATTGAGGGTTTTTTTTATTATAAAGTAGACCAAGTTTTAGACGTTGCATTTTATTTTATTTTATTTGACAGTACAGAGGGCAAACATTTAGTTTTCTATATGTAACGATAACGAATTTATTTTAAGTAGTTTAAATCAATATTTTATGAAATATAGATAATATTTGTGTGATATTTGTTTGCAAATTGTAGCTATTTTTTATGCTAAATATGTTTGTATCTACGATATTTCGCGGTAAATTATCTAAATGACAATCTGTTACATATTTTAACGTTGATTCCCTGTGGATGAACCAAATGTTACTCGAGTAAATCATTGATTAAATCCCGCAGTTAATATATTGGTGTTATATATAATATTTTTTATTTGAATTGTTTTGAATTTTGTGTGAAATTGCTTTATTATGATAACCACATAGAGTTCCTTGTGATAAAAACTGAAAATTAAAAATTTTACTTAAAATTTTCACAGTTTAAAGTAAATCAGGTTTTACGGACGCTGTTCATCAATATATTAGAATAAATTTAGTGATTGATAAATTTTATACATGACGTTTATTAAATTGAAAGAATTTATTTAAAAAAAGTACAAAATTATAAAATCTATTCACTAGAAATATGCTCGTTGTATATATATCGTAATAAGTCTACGTCTGATATTAGTGGCAAACCTTTCATATACCTACTAAACATGCATAAACAATAAAAGAATACCACGAAATGATTTTAAATGAACTTGGATTGATCTTTGAACAGTATTTTAAAAAAAAAAACATTGCTCATTTTTTTCATTATCACTAATTTTTTGAATGCGTGGTAATAACTTCAATGGGATCAGCAAAATTCTATTCGCGTCCATTGTGTTTCAGTGAAAGGGACATAACTTTTTCATCCTTGCACAATAAAATAAAAACTTTAAGCTTTATAATGTGCTCCTTAGGAGAAAAGAAGTAATAAGAATAAATTGTAACTGTGCACCTGGTGCGAAGGTATCTTATTAACGAGATCAATTTCCATGTTTACGATAAATGTCCAAATTATAAACAAATGTTTGGTCAGTTAATGAGCGTCCGGAATATTGCCGGATATGTGTGGGGTTCATTGATTATAAAGCCTGCATGTGTTCCGCTGGCATCTCATTAAGTGTTGGAATTAAAAGTTGACTAGTTATTGTAAACAAGACGACGTTACTACAAATTACCAGTATCTCTCCCCGAAGAAATGGCAATATTATTAAGAAAACTAGAAGCGAAAACAAGAGCAAATACATGCGGGTCATTTTACGGAATCAGAGAAGATATTACGAAACAAACTAAACTAATCTTCATTTTATGAAAGTTTTAATTATAGATTTCGAATTAAGATAAATCAAATAAATAATCCAAGATTTAATTACAAACAGACCAGTTGAAAAGAAATAATTTCAAAAAAAAGAAAATAGATGGGAAGACGTCTCTCGAGAGAAACAAGAATAAAGTTTTCCTGTTACAAGTTGATAAAATTTAAAACTCAAAACTAAACAACTGACCAGGAACCAAAAATTTGACCTTTTTCGTTGCGGGGTCGAACTCCAGGTAGAGCGACGGCTTTACGCGGGACAATTTTTCACCAAGTTATTTATCGCTGGCATACGTTAAAACTTACATCCTTTACAACTCGCATAGGCGGTGACGTTTTCTAGAGAAGAAAGCACCGTTCTGTGTGATAGTTGGGATCGGATATTAATGTCACAAATATAGTTCATACTTACACACTGCGGGATACTCGCATAGCAATATTCTACTCTTCAGGAAATATTTAATGTAGGATTTATGTGTAAATTATATACTGCTTTGGCACTGTGTTTATACTTCTGTGGAATATAAAATATTTATCCTTGTGTTTGAGCACGCGCTTATGAACTGGAGGTGAGTTGATGTGTATCCGCGCGACCCAGTTTTAACCATTGAGTTGGAAATGGGAACATTTATATTTTGAATTTATACATTTCCGGTTGAGAACTTTTAAGAGTTACAATATATATTTGTTAAACTATTCTTACTTTAATTGATGCTTTTTTTTCTTTCTTTTTCCCCTGAAGATTCGTATGGACATTGTAATATGGCCGTAAATTTTGTCTAGACTAGATAATAACTGGAAGTGAAACATGAAACTTTCAATTAATCTGTGTTTATTTTAGTACGAAAAGTTCTAGGGAGGGGAATTGCAGGGTTTAGTGTGTACGATAAAGTATAATACGGCGGTTTAAAACGGCATTACGTGGAGAAAGAAGTGTATCTTAAAATCACTGATTATTTATTATGATTATTTTCAGCTTTTTAAACTGTTTATGCTTAGAAAGTTACCTATTTTTTAAAATTTCAAATTTTAACCAAATAACTTCGAAATACGATTTATCAAGACCCATGCATGTAAATTTCCCTCGACGATAAGGCATTGAATTAGAATAAAAATTCAATTTTCCGATTCTTTATGCTTTATTGGAATATTATGGATTGAATCTTGAAAGGACATTATCATTTGAAATGATTGATGACTTTTCCTGACCAATGCATCATGGTTAAAAATTTTAAATCCATAAAATTGAATTTTATACACTTTTAACTCCCATAACAATTTTATATATCTGATCTGTTTACTTTGTCAATAATATAATAAATTGATAACAATTTAACACGAGATTTTCTAGGAATACTTAGGAGGTGTAATACTGTAGGTTAATACTATAGGTTTTTTTGCAATATTTATTTTGTGCATGATAAAAAAAAAACATCTTAATAAATACAAAATAAAAAACCATACACATGTAATGCTATTTTTTGTGGTTTCTGTATTTTATATTTTTGGGGAAAAAAATATGTCCATTATCTGTGGTCTTCATTTCAAGTCATAAATTCACAAAATAAGCGGCTATATAAGATTATTTCTTTTAATTTCTGTAGGGAGAGAAATATTTATATAATATGAGTCAGCTTTACGCTGTCTTGTTTTGATTTTCCCCACTTCTCGTTTTCACGCTTACGAGAACATAATTCTCTATTTATTTACATTGGACATAATCACATGGCAGGCAGTGGAAACAATAATTACTGTAAATAATATTTAATTATTGGTCAGTATCTAACGCCAATAATAACACACTAATCGACTACACCCCGGGTAACGTCATAAATTTTAGCTACACTAATTTAATTTTTCATATAGTTTTCATTTTTCCCAGACCTTGAGGGAAATAAAATTATAGTGACATTCGCTTAGGGGTACAGTACACGTATATATTTTTTTGCTGTCGATAGGAATAAGACATAAATCATTACAGAGAATTGACCCCCCAGCATTAACTGGTTTGACTGATGATATTTTCAGCTAATTATGAATTTTTGCCGCTATCTAGATATCGCCTTATCTGATGGTCACGTCAACAATCTCCCCAATTAAATACCCCTTTCTTTACAAATTATTTCTATTACATGTATTTGTAATTTCTTAAATACAAATCATGTACCGGTTTAGTGAACAAGATCTGCCCTGATAAGATCTGAAAACAAATTAAAAACATGCCTGTCAAAGTAGTTGAGTTAGTTTTACTACTTGTTTAATATTTTTTTCAATGTTTAGAATTAAACAAAGATTATTGATGATTATTAAATTAATTATTTTTTACTTGTATTATTTATTATTTTTATTTTAAAACTTTTTCTAAGAGCAAACATACTACACACAATCATTTCTTATATCTAAAATAATGTTATGTTAAATAATGAAATATATTATAAAAGAAAAGGTACCTACTGCAGTATACCTTTTGTATTATGAATTAAAAGTACATTTATGCAGGATCAATAAAAAAATTACAGAACTAGGTAGTCAGTCAGAACTTGGTCGATCAGCCTCACAGCCCCAGCACAAAATACCAGCTCTCTCCTAGAACAGCATTCAAAAAATTCAATTACCACGACATCCCTACTCTGCATAACAATTGGTCTTCACAACCAACAAAGTTATGGATTTTTTATTCGTTCGGAAATGAAAATTGAGCGTTATGGAAGTTAGGTTTCAAAATGTCTTTTTTTTTCTGGGTACTACAGCGTTTTAACGAACACAGTGACAAAACTGTGTTTATCTGGCCATATATAGTGCATATAATATAGCCCAAATACACACTTCTCTGGTGTGCATTCGTATTTAAATCAATCCCACGTATACCATTTCTCGTACACTCTGTATATAATTATTGCAATTTATTTTAATAAATGCAATGTTAAGTGAAGGAAAAAAAGGGAATTTTAATTAAACAACAACAAGAAGAAATGGCAGAAATCATTGGTGTTCTGTTTGAAATAATGCTCCGCGGGTTTTTATTACACAGTTTCTACTGTCTGTTTCATTGTTAAGATGTCTCAGTTCGGAATATGATGACTTTTACAGATTGGTCTGAGATAGATGGAATTTTCATCTGTCAATCCATTACAGTCGGCGACCTTTTGACGCCAACTATGATAACGGGAGAACAATTTAATAAATCCTCCGCCTTGCTTTTTAATTAATTTATTCTCCTTTTAGTAAAATCTAAATTAGAAAACAAGCTATAAAAACGGGTTTGTATCTAATTTGGGAAAAGTATGAAATTTGGACTTGAATATTAATGATGTTTTCTATGTATATTCCAAAAAAATATATTCATCCGCGATTGTGTGATGCCCTTAAAAAATGGAATTAATAGTGCCTTCGTCTTGAATTTATCTTGTAATACAATATACACGCAGGGTGTTAAGAAAGAGACTGGTCATTAGGAATGGTGTAATCTAAGTTTCCACAAGAGAACGGAACCGGTCTCCAGCCGACTATTTCGATCGCCTTTTCTGGCGTTTCATGCATATATAATTGCCTTCAAAACCATTGTCGTTTGAACAATGACTTTTAAGTCGTCGCTACATTGCCATTTTATATATCGTTGCCGGTGAATTATTCACAAATCAGCAAAAATTCGGTATTAATATTAGGAAAATTTGCTTTTTGATCGATTATATTTTGTGTATAATATTCCTTGATCTTTTTTTATTCCTTTTCTGCGTATTTCAGCAGAATTCTTCAACAATAAAATGTTTTGTGCACGGATTTCTCCGTCTAATATACATAATATGTACTTGTAATTTTTTTTTCCGTACGCCATGACTAATCACCCAAGTTCGTCATTTACAGATAAAATTTTTACGCAGTGTATCAGAATTTTATAGGACACGTCTAAAAAATTTCACCCCAACACAGTTAATTTGTTTATATTTTAAAGTCATTGAAAGTATTTTTAGAATTCGGAATTTAACAAAAAATACATTTATAAATACATAGCCTTTTTTGGAGTTGCAGAGTTGATAAATAACATAGTTTATTATGATAATTTATTGAAACACATCTGTCACATTTATGTTTATCTTCTTATGATATCCTATATATATATATGTTCGATTGTTTACTGACTGAACATGTTTAAAATGATATTTGTTGACCATCAATCGGGCACATAAATAATAAATGACGATACTGGATATTCTTGCAATCATTTAAAAATCATTTGTATCAAAAATTTTCTCCCGATAATCTGTTATGACTATGGATGATATACTAAGGGGCGTGTCTGTGGGCGGGGTTTGCCACTTGACTGCACTGCCCATCATTGGTTTGATCAGAGCAGCGTGAACACAACAATTAGGCAAAACACTACAAAAACTCTTATATCACAGTTTATTTACTACCTGTCTTGAAACAGTTGAACCTTGAAACTAGAGAGAGTTTGATAGAAAACGGACTTTTTAAAACAAGTCGATCATCTTCACGTGTCAAAATCCCATTTCGTTTACTCGCGGCTTAAAGTTTCACATTCTAAGGTAAAAATATTATTCCCTTACTGAACATACACTCTTTCCTGTTTCTAATTAGCTAAAATGTTTTGCTTTAAAAAATAAAAATTTAGTTGGTAAATAATAAATGGTTTTCATTGAATAAGCACACTCTTTTCTGTTTCGTGAGCACACGCAAGTTTGAGAGAAAATTATATTAAAATTCATTGAAAACACTTTCCACAATTACCATGACAACGCTTCTAAAAAATGCATAAATTGTTTCTGAAAGTTCAGTTAATTATGTTAATATAAACTCATTCCCAAGTTTGTTTTATTGAATATTAGATTAAAATAAATATTTTAAAGGAATTTGAAAACTTATTCAAACAAAATCTACATATATTATACATTTAAATAAACGGGTTTTAAATCTGAGATAAACGCCGAAGTTGATGGGAGGGGGCGGGGTTTGTTTGACAGATCGTACATTATTTCTTGCTAGAGTAACGTGGTTTTGATTGACATATTGCGAGAAATAGCCATGAGTTAGACAGGTTACTTGTTTAAGTTGTAGAAGTGTTGACTGTGGTATAACGTTCACTTGGTTTGACAGTTTCTCATGTATTTGACAGGAATACAGATTTGTTTATACCAAAGGGAGTTTACAACAGTGTTGTTCCATATCAAGGATCTTATTATAATATCTGGAATTATACGAAAGCCCGGGAATAGCATATGAGCCTTGTCCATGGCTCAAAGGGTACGTAGTTCTTATACCGTATTAAAATATATGATGTTCTTTAACTGGACCTGACAAGAATGGAAGAAAAAAAACATACATCAACATTCAATTTATCTTTTTCTGCTGGAGGGACACGAAAGTTAATTCTTCTGTTTTGCATCCTTGTAGTTTGAGAATGATCTCCCGGCACACTACCCCGGGGGTGGGGGTCTGGGAGGGATGCCGGACGGTATGTACGACCGGTCCCTCCCGAACCACCCCCTACATCAACAGTCATCGATGCATCACTACCCCCCATACTCCACCAACAGCTCTATGCCCCCCGTCAACTCATCTCAGGACTCGCAGTTAAAAAGAGATAAGGATGCAATATACGGGTAAGTGCCCTCGCAGACATAAAACCTCCCAATACATTATTATAAAGATGAAAACGGTGTGGTTTTTATTCGGGGGTATAATTATACACATTTAAATAAACCTTCACTTATCTGAGGGAAATATACAGACTTAGAATTTTATTATTCGGGATTAAAAAGTTTGCAAAACACAACGTGAACATGGGTTTATTCTTAGCATAATATACGATTTATAAAAGCCACAACATTCCTGCACAAATCGGGGTAATCCTATCTCCCCTTATCAATATGGCTGACGAATGTTTACAATTTGGCGAGTATTTACACAGACATTTTCATGTGTAGAAAATTTCTGCTCTCTTAACACTGTTGTTTTAATTCTTTGTAGGCATCCATTATTTCCTTTATTAGCCCTCATATTTGAAAAATGTGAGCTAGCAACCTGTACCCCCCGGGAACCCGGAGTAGCCGGTGGAGACGTGTGCTCCTCCGAATCATTCAACGAAGATATAGCAGTGTTTAGCAAACAAGTTTTAGTAAGTGGTGAAGATTATTATTATATTTTTTCCCACAAAAGTATGTAGTTTTTTCTGGCGATATCCCGACGCAATATTCTCTGTCTGCCCCTCATGTGGTATTCAGACCAAATCTGATTTAGCCCCGAGTGGAAGCAGCCGGTCACTTATGTGATTAACTTTTCGCCGAGCTGAGGGGATAACGTCGATGAAAACAATAGCATTAACCTCCGAGGACCCCGAATGATGCTTTGTTTCAAGAAACAGGAGAAGCAGGAACCGGGAAATTTTTTTCCCTATGTTGTGTTAGCGTGGAAAAGAATTATTGAACAATGCATGTTCAATAGGGGCAAAGGAGAGAATTGTTTTAAATATTAATTTTATGCAAGGACATTATTGTGGAACCTCAAAAAATAATTATTCATGAAGATGTATAATTAAAACCTGGTTAACTGACTGATTTCTTGACACGCAAGCATATCAATGGAGCGAATGTCGAGAAAAGAATACGTTGCACCTTTAAGGAAAATTATTTTATGGTTGTTAGAACAGGATTCCTGATCTGAATGATAACAGGGGCCGATTATCCAATTTAAATCGCATTAAAATAAATAGATTGAATTTTTATGATCACAAAATTGAAGAAATTCTTTAGTCTGATATTTATTTTTGGGTGAAAAAAATTTGACGTTATATTTTTATTGTGTTTAAAAAATATGTTATAATTTTATTTTAATTTATTTATTCCTAGGCCCGGTCAGAAAAACCTTTATTTTCCGCAAATCACGAATTGGATAGCGTGGTAAGTATATTTTAATTAATTTGAAATAAACATTGGCCTAAAACAATTTTTACTGGCAACGAGGAAGACATTTTTTAAAGATGACTTTTTTGTAAAGCAAAGCGTTAGCGGGCAGATGAGATAGATTTTGTAAATGAACCATGTTACACACGGGAATAACTCGGATTGAATTCCGCTGAATACACATGGCTAGGTCGAAAATTTTGATGAAAAATTGGCCAGATGGTTTTGTACGAATTCTTAACGACTTGGTCTATATACATAAAATAGTTTATGCGAAGGGAAAAGTGAGATTCTGGGATAGATTTTTTGTGGTTATATCTGGCAAGAAATATATTTCTGTAAAATAAATCTTTTCCCCGACACCAAATTGCCTTTTAATAGAACAATAAGATTCTTTTATATAAAAAATGAATTAAAAAAATTATTCCTCTTCTTTTGAGAAATAATTTTCTATTTTTATTACAAATATATTTATATTTAAAATAATATTTATTTCGTTGTTTTTCTTCACTGCAGATGATTCAGGCGATACAGGTGTTACGATTTCATTTACTGGAACTAGAAAAGGTAAATTTTATTTATGTACATATTTTCCATGTTGATTAACAACAAATATTGTAATCGTTCACACTGCTTCCCTTCAGAGCCTATCTGACCACATGCTCATATCAAAACACCAGTTATCATCGCAAAAATACTACAATGATAAGATGAATGAAATTTGCAATGACCTTTACTCCTGCATTTCAAACTTGTGATAAATGGTATAGATTTTATCAATACAAGGTGTAGGAATCCACAAAAGAAACTGTCTCTTCCCATTGTGAGAGAAAAATGATTTTTGTTCGGATAAGATGAACCTGTTCTAAATCTGTCACTTGTTTTTTTGTCTTTTAGGTGCACGAACTTTGTGACAATTTCTGTCACCGCTACATCAGTTGTTTAAAAGGAAAAATGCCGATAGATTTAGTGATAGATGAACGAGAAGGGGGGAGCACCACGTCCAAATCTAGTTCGGATAATCCGCCGGATCCCTCGGAAGGAGTGGATCAACAGGTAAGACAGAAATATTTTCAGAAATACCGGATTCTGAATTATATTTATTGATCCTGACTATAGTAACTCCCCCTACAAGAACGGATCAATAGTGGTGTAATAGGATAGTGCATGTTTTGCTGCAAAACCTTAAAAAAAACCCGGAATTATATGGCAACCAAACCACTAGGGAAATACATAAACAGTTAATAAACTAAACTAAAAAAATGAAGAAAGAGAAAAAAACAACACAAAGTTATTTTTTTATTTAAAAATGATTGGATACAGAATAAATTAATAAAGAATTAATAATTAAATATTATTTAAAAATATGCTGAAAGTTGCAGAATATTTTTCAAATTTAATTTCCTTTCAGTCTTTAAAATTAAACGAAATTATGCGGAAATTAAACAGGTGTAACTTAAACAATTTATTTTACTAGTAATAAAGTATATGCTTGTGCAAGCAAAACCGAAATGCCCTTGTAAGTGTATGTAAACACACAATATGGAGTATTTTCATGACCACTTCCACACAATGGAAATATAGACAGCTAACATGTTCATCTTGTTTTATGATGCACAATAAAAAATGAACAAGTCAGGAAAAAAGCCCCTAATTTCACTGAATGGCGAAATCAAAAACTATTTTAAGGCCCAGTCGACATTACGCAGACGGCACAGCGCTGTTGAAATGTTTATAATTTCATTGCTTGAAGAATTATTTTATTACAAAATGATTCCCTTTTGGATAGAAAACAATTTCTAGTCGAGTTTGTGAGTCTTTTGGAAGCGTCTGTTAGTACGAGCGTTTTGTGAGCCCGTTTACGACCTATAACAGTTATTGTCATCATACTAAAGTCGTAAATTTGACAGCAACCTGGTCAATAAAATTACACTTACTCCCGGATTCGACCTTGACAGAGCTTGAAATTAATCGTGAATCTTTACAAAAATTCTAAGGGGAAAAATAAATCAGTGACTTTTTATGCCTTTCGTATGTCTATGATAAATATGTGTTATTTTTAATGGAGTACACGTAACCACTATGTCTCGCTTGCTAGATGCCTTGCAATGACCCGAGAGATTTTTTTCTTGGTCGGTTCTTAACGGTCTATGATTAAGTATAGGTATAGAAATTATCTAGGTATTTCTCAGGTAAATTGTTCACTACAGGTGTATTTTGATTTTATACGGAAATCTACATTAAAATTCAAGGAAGCTTTTTTCTGTGTCAACTCTTAACCCAAATTTGATCCCCAAGTTATTGTTAAAAACCATAAATCATGTTTTTTTGTATATTGTTACCATATGATGTTAATTTGACTCTAATCTTTGAACTTGTCGTGTAGATAGAGCACCCTGCCAATGCCCCATGTATTCTGTATACTTCTTTGTTTATAAAACACTCCAGTCAGTCGGGCAGATAGTTTTGAGGTCAGGGGAACACTTTACTTAAGTCTTTTGTCTCTGGTATCACATCTGATCTTCCTGCCAAAAATATCCGATTCTAATTTTTCATGTATTTCCTGTCCATATCATTAGGCTTACCTGTCAAGGACTGGCGGTTATTCTGTTCTTCCATCTTTTTTTTTTGCCTTTGGTTGACATTGTATGTAAAAATGATCTTTTCAATGCGTATAAGTGTACATATTTTATATTCATTCAAATAATTCTATTCAAAACAGATGAAACTGTTCCTATAATCTTCATTCATACATTTTGAGAAGTTTATCTGTTAGGGTCTTTTGCTATTGTATTCTGTCTTAGCTGCTGACACGCAGAAGTCTAGAATTTCTCATTATCATGCTTGACTTGGTTTATGAAATCATTTTACCTTTTTGTCTCGCCTGCGACGAATGTCGCGAAGCGAGACATAGCGACCATAGATTCCGTCGTCGTCGTCGTCGGCGTCCAACTTTTGGTTAACCCAAATGTCAAAGTTTTATAAACTGCAATAACTTTCTCAAATTTTATTCAGTCTTCTTGAAATTTGGACACAATATTCAGTATGGATAAAAATTTATATCCCAAGTATGATTTTGAAAAAAAAAATTCAAATTTTTCCGTATTTTTTCCTTAAGTTGGACTTAGTTTTTTCATGATAATTTATGGTGAAGACCTATATTCCAGCAACTATAAGTTATAGGGATATGATAATTAGTCAGTGGATACATCATGGGTAACCACAAACGTCAGTACCAGAATTAGGTCATCTTGACCTACATTTTTCTGCATTGACTTTGGTTAAATTTTTGGTGGAGGTCCATATCTCAGCATCTATAACTTATAATGGCATGATGATTTGTCATTGTACAGGTTATAAGTAACCAACAACATCAGTACCAGAATTAGGTCATTTTGACCTACATTTTTCTGCATGAATGACTTTGGTTAAATTGATAATGGAGGTTCATATTTCAGCAACTATAACTTATAGTGGCATGATAGTTAGTCAGTGGATACATCATGGGTAACCACAAACGCCTGTACCAGAATTAGGTCATCTTGACCTACATTTTTCCGCATGAGTGACTTTGCATAAATTTATGGTGGAGGTCCATATCTCAGCAACTATAACTTATAGTGGCATGATAATTTGTCAGTGGATACATCATGGGTAACCACAAACGCCTGTACCAGAATTAGGTCATCTTGACCTACATTTTTCCGCATGAGTGACTTTGCATAAATTTATGGTGGAGGTCCATATCTCAGCAACTATAACTTATAGTGGCATGATAATTTGTCAGTCTACACATCATGGGTAACCAACAATATCAGTACCATAATTAGGTAATCTTCACCTACATTTTCTGCATGAATGACTTGATACATATACAGTGGATTTGATTTCAAAATGCAAGTTCAAATTATTGCGACTCATAACACGTTGCAATATTCGCAATAATAAAAACATCACAATAATTTGTGAATTTACAGGGTATATGTATATATATATAAATGCCAATATAATCGCCAAGGGATTAGATATTAAGTCAGCTGTTCCATTTCTTTATTATTGTATTTTTGAGTTATTCCTTCTGAAATGTCAATAAATGCTTCAGTTTATCAGACAATCATTTCTTACTAACCACAGCGACAGCAGGCGAGACACAGGGTTGCGGGCAACCCTTACGTACTTTTTTTTGTTATTTATGTTTGTTATATTTTTGTATCTTTCTATGTGTTTCACTAATGTGCGTGCTCACTTCTTGTATTATATCTTATCTCGTTCTTTTCCCTCCCGTGCCCTGGGTCAACGTGATTTTACCCGCTATAGGGGGGTCCTATTCACGGAGGGGTAAAGGTCTTTAATTGTGATGGAATATTGTCTCATGATATCTCGCCACCTACTTTGTATCTCTCTATTGTATGTTGTTAGACTTTGTTTTCCACAATGGATCCTTGTTACATTTGTTTAGTCCCAAATAAATCTTGCTAACTTTTAAGTTTGTTCTGCTTCATTGTCCCCTTGTGGACCCTCCAGATTTTGTTCACATTTTCATCTTTTTGGCCATGGTCAAGGCTTGATTGGGTCTCAGACACACTGCGTTATAGCCATCAGGTTGTAGATAAGATCTGCCTGCCCTATTCCTGGTTTCTAAATCACTTCCATTTCCTCTCGATATTTTTTTCACCATGGGGTGGTTATTTCGGAGGCAGCGTACTAAATCTAATTCATCACCCTCGTGTGTTGTTTGGAAGGTATTTTGTCAGAGCTAATCATATGTTGAATATAATGATAAATAAACAAAATAGTGTTTCTGTCGAAACAAGAAAGCAGTGAACAGGTTAATATAAAAGGAAAAGGTTCTGCTCCGACCGCAAGGGTAATTATAACGAGACTGTGTATTTCTTCGGGGTAGGTACAAGTATACCTGTTAAACAGACATTAATCAACAGTCCGCCATTACCAGGGGCTAATCTTTCTGATTCCTGATCGTCTATCTGGAGATCGTATCGGTGATTTTCTTCTTTGTCCGTAGATTTAGTAACCGATCGCTGAATCAGTACCTCCTTAAAGCTCTTCCTCAATAAGTAAGCACAGACAATTGTGCCAAGACGACTAGACAATTAAAAAACACATATCTGGCATATAAGTGTCATTATCGTACCATTTACATTAAGTAATTCGGGTTATCGACGATAGACTATTTTGGTTAACTCCCCATTCTTCATTTTATAATTTGTAGATAAAAAAATTCTTGGAGAAACACGAAAAGGTGAAATTTATTTTTGCATCTTTAAGTTTTAATGACTCGTTAATTTTAATTTTGTGGGATAACGAATGGGATAAGAAAGAAAAGAAAAGAAAGAAAGCCTTTATAATGTATCTATACAGTAAAATCTAATTATCGAATAAAAAGTCTATTTCACTGCCGTAGGAATAAAAATCATGTTCCCGGGGTGAATGGCGGATTTAAAGATGGTCGGTAAATTCTGCAACACGGGTCAGCTCCATGTCATAATAGGAAAGATATCCCTAATGGCTTTCAAATGACTTCGTCTCCGATTTCTTATGAATTACATTAAGGAAAAAGTGAAATTCACTCCCCGTCCATAGTTTGGCTTTAGTCCCCACTATTAAGGCGGTAAAAGGAGCGATTTGCTGGTCGAGCGCGACCCCTTCTGCTTGGATGGACGCGTAGAAAAGGCTCGCTCTCACGTCGGAGACAGATTCTGTTTGTAAACTTGCTATGGCTTTCATTAGTCTGATCTTTTGATTTTTTGTGGAATTCTCTTCCATCGTTCTTTTTGGGTGTGGGGAGTGGGCTGGGGGTGGATAGAAAGGGTGTACCCAAAGTGTGAATGAAACTAAATTGTTGAATTTTTTTATGAAGATGGAGGCCAATAGTCCAAATAATGCATGTCAATTATTTTATTTTCCCATTTCCCTATAATATACTTTTTAATTTTTCCACGCTTACTCCTCTTTTGAAATTATTATATGCACGTATTAATATTATAAATTGCTTCACAACTTTTGATACAATGAAAGTTAATTAAAAAAAAGAAGTG